ATTAAATCCATATGGACATACTCGTCACAAATTTACGGTAATGCTCAAAACATCCACCTACAGAAACTTCGATCCTTCCAATCATCATTATTGCGACTCATAACAAAAGCACCTTGGTACGTGACTAACAAAACTCTACATACTGACCTCCACCTTCCAACAGTTGACTACAAACAGCCTATACCAACGGTTTTAGACTAATTTAATCGGACATCACTCAATAAGATACATGTTCTCAGCTGACATACTTCAGAACATGAGAAGGATAGTAAAAAGGCGTTGGATGAGAGATCTCTTTCCTTAAACAACCTAAGTAATTGAAACATATCTGGAAAGAGGTGTTGTTGAGTACTTTCTTCCCTACGCCTGACGTCATTTATATATTATTGTATATTATATATTTGTATATAATATTTCCAGCACCTTTGCTTGATTGTTATCAAAAAGTTGACTGGCGTGAATAAATTTCAATAGAAAAAAAAAATTGTTAGACTTATAAGATTTTGACGAGAATCATGCTGCAAGGTGAATGAATCTTGCAGACCAAGAGCAAAACTGGCTATGTCTCGTCTTGGTCTTGCATTAGAGCAACATTTAAAACCACACATAGGAACCGATTACAATAATTTCCTGTACTTATTAGCTGTAGGAGAGTAAATATTAAATACGCTTAGTTTATCTCTGTGATTTTTTTTTTGTCCTTAAAGGGATAATAAAGAGAGTGTTCCAGAAGGTCTTGGACGGAAGGGATAATTCTCCGAAAAACAGCGTTCGATGAGAGTAGCAATTACCGAAGGCCCGGCGGCAGGAAATGACAGGGGCGGCGAAAGGTCATGGCCGGAGTATTGTTCCCAAAGGGTACGCTAAATACTGAACTGAAGGGTACTCGTCGCCATCGTACCCTGGAGTCGTAAACTGTTCTCGAAGGTCGGGGTGTGTGTGAGCGGTCTGTGCCCATGGCGATGATGATCTGGGAGTCTGAAAGCCGTTGTCGAATTATATTAAAATGTAGCAGTTATAGACAGTTTTCGAATATTCTACTAATAATGAGTTTTACTTGAGAGTATAAATACGAGTAAGTTTGCAGAAAGCAATGTTTCCTAAGATTCTCAGCCGGTTTCCTGCTAGCACAACGAATTGAAGTTACTGTATTAGTGTAATCGGTCTTGGTCTTGCAAAACCAAGACCGAGACCGCCCAGGTGTTGCAAGACCAAGACCAATATTGGTAAAAAAAAAATGTATAAATGGGATATGAAAGTGGATCCCGATACGTCATAATAAAATAAAGAATAATTGTCGGAAGAATAAATCCTGTTATCAAATATTATTTATATACCTCAGAAAATAAGTATCTCTCTTAGGACTATTAAAGAAAATGTGATTTAATTTTTTAATCATACCTTAGGAATTTTAAAATAACTTACTATTAATGCAGAATAAAACTTTCCATACTATGCATTACAAACCTTTATAAAGTGTTCTTAAAATATATATATATAAAAATATAAACCCATATTCTAACCCTCAAAGGTTTCAGATATTGTGCCAAAAAGATCAAATTATGGAAATCAGATTGGAATCTATTGGTCGGATTGGACGTTCTCCTCTCAAGAATTATTTCTCAACGGCAGTTATTCTTTCGACAACAGTTGCACCTCAAACTTGCAACACCAGGCCGCAAGTCAATAGCAAGCTTGCAACTACAGCCCAGGTCTTGAACCATCAAGATAGTTCAAAGTGTTACAATGTCATTGCAATCGCGGGCTTTGTACCATCTGCGAGGTACAAGATGTAATTTGTATGTATTATGAAAAGAATCTTACTTTTACAATTGTACAATAGTTTACGAAGAGCTATTGTCATATGTATCATAGTACATTTATACATTGGACGTACGTGCTTTTGAGTTCGAATCCTGCTGTGGCAGATATCAGCCGTGGATCGACCCTCGGGTCTGATGATCCTTCTGGAGCACACTCTATGAAGTAGGTAATGTTAATTAATTTATAAAGGAGAAAAACCTGGTGGTTGAGCGTGATCATGGTTCAATCATATTCATGTACAATTTTCGGCTTTGAAATATTTTATTTATTTATCTGTTTTTATTGTTGCCTCTATCCTGCAGGGTCATTGCTAACACTTCCTAAGGTTTTTTCCACGACTTTTTCGTTCTCAGTGAGGTTTTCTTTAAGACTAAGCCATATCCAACTTTTTCCTTATATTCTTAAATACTGGGCAGTCTTGGATGATATGTTGGACAGTTCTTTGCACCTTATAGATCTCGCAAGTCGGTGGGTATAGTCCTCTTAGTAAATAGGCATGTGAAAATTCACAATACTCTTAAGCGGCAGAGGACTGTCTCTTCTTTTCTGGAGAGTGGGTTACTAGTTTTCCATTTGGAACAAATAAATAAATAGTACTTCCTTAAAAAGAACTTAACTCAAGTTAATCTTATAAAATCCATACAAGTACAGTATTTTTTATTTTAATTATAATTAGTTACCTCGTTTTTTTAACTGCCTATTTTATACTTAACATTTTCTATTCTTCATCTTTCTGCTTTACTTAGTTTAATCGACAAGCTTGTGATGAAGTTGACTAAAAAGGCTTGAAAAAAAAAAACATTTAGCGTCCTATTAATTTACATACGCTATGTTAATACCACCTATCATTTTATACTCTCACTCATTGAGCTAGAACATTTAAGCAACAAAGGAGATAAAACATAAATTGCTTAAGGTGTCCACAAAAAATAATAAAAATATAAAATTTACTTTTATATTATGTCCTTACACAAAACCCACAATTAATAGGTAAAAAAATATGTTATGTCAATGCGCAAAAACTATTAGACCGTGGTAGAGACCACTTTTTATCAAATCATTAACATCCATCTGAAATTCCTTAAATAACTTCATCTCATCGTAACCTAAAAATATTTACGAAAATTCTTGGAATTGGGGCGTTTTCAATCTGGAGGTTGGCAAACCTTGTATATTTAATTAGGTACTAAACACTCAAAAATACCCATTTGATTTCCACTTGAATCGTAAAATAACTTGAGTAAAAAGTCGGAAAAAAAGTTGGTCTACAAAAATATTGGTCCGTTTGGCCTAAATAAACCTCGTTATTTTGACAATTTGGTGGTGTAGGTCACGCCAAACGGCTCAATATTTTTGTAGGCGCCCTTTTTTTCTCTAGTTTGTGCTCAAGTTATCTTACGATTTACGTGGAAAGCAAATGGGTATTTACGATTTTTTAGTACCTAATTAAATAAACAAAGTTTACCGACCTCCAGATTGAAAATACCCCAATTCCTAGAATATTCTTAAATAAAATATTTGTAGGATTACGATGAGATAAGGCCAATTACGAAGTTTCAGCCGGTTGTTAATAATTTGATAAAACGGAGTCTGTTCCACGGACTATATAATTCCTTTTTTTTTTTTTTTTTACATTCAGTAAATGTGAACAAAAGAATATAATAGCATGAAATCACTTGTTGAGAAACTACCCGCTGGTAGCACTCTAAAAATGTATTTACAAAAGGAGATCTCGAGACCATCTTCTTTTCAGACGCCTCGCAGGGTTGTTAGGGATCGAGAAGGAAGCAAGGTTAGAAACGAGAGGGTTAGGATGGTTCTGAAGTTTGTTATGGAAGGATAGGTATCTGGATTGGCCAGGTCAGAAACAGAAGGAACATTAAGGTCATTATGGATGATTTTGTTTGTGATAAAGTAAGGAGCTGTGAGGATTTTACGAAGGATTTTGGATTGTAAGGATTAGATACGAGAGGAATTCGATGGCTTAGTGGAGCCCCCGAGCTCAACTCAGTAAGTCCAAATAGGTCTTATTGTAGTCATGTAGATGAGTCTTTTGTAATTGACTGGGACCTTAGAGCGTTTGTCTAGTAAGTGCTGGAGTAGTCGGAAACGTCGAGCTGTTTCTTGTCGTTTCAGTCTGGTATGAGGATTCCAAGTTTGTCTAAGTGGAGTCCAAGGTATCGAATTTGTTCAACAGGGATAAGTGGGGTATTATTAAAGGATACTGTAGGACAAGAGGACTATATAATTAACATGTAAAAAAATATATATAGTTTGTTCATTTTAAAGAAGGTTTTATAAAAATGAAATTGATATATGGTTTAATTATTTATTAATTGATATAATTAAAAACAGTTTTTATTTTTTAAAATTATACGTCATTTTATTTTACAAAATATAATGACAGTAGATATTATGGCACAAAAAATAACAATTCTATTTACATTGACTACGTAAACATTTGCGTTTTAAGTTATATACCATTTAAAACTAAAAAAATTCTCAATTTTTTCCTCAAATGAACTCTTCGTGTTGCATCTCAATTCTTTGTGCTGGTATGTGGGGAAAATATATTTTTCATCAAATCTAACCAGTGCATGTTTGAAATATTTCAGTACTTTGTGATTGAATTACTCAACATCTTATGAGACATCCTCTACTACCAGTTCCTATAGGAGTGGTAGTACTTCCTACCAGTAGTTTGTGAGAAACAATACATTTCAGGAACAAAAAAGGGTATAACCTAGCTTGAACTTACGGACAACGACTATCTAGCATCAGATTATCTCTTTAACCTTATTGGTGGCTTGAATAACCTCATTCATTTCTTTTTAGTCTCCTCCAACAAGTGCCACAGGTTACTCCCAATACCCACTTTCAAAAGAAAATATGTAGTGCCCCTGACTAAAAAGGAAGTTGGATGAAGGATATCCAGGTCTAACTGTAAAATCAAGTTAAGAAGCGATGCCGTTCGATATTACTCTACTGTGTCTACAATTCCTATCATGCCATATCCTATTTTTGACAGCAAAGTCGCTGATAACATTTGACAGGTGTGAATAAAAGATTTCAACAATTATATAAACTCATCATAGTTTCTGCTTACTGTTAATAATTTCGCTAAGGATTTCCCACAGGAACACCATCAAAGAAATTGCTGATCCCATTCCCAATACCAGGAATGGTCCTGTAAGATCTCTCAGAGTAAAAGACTTGGATTCAGACCTCCGCGAACTCTTAAAAACAGACCAGTAATCTTGCACGAACTTCTTGACGAAACCGTTCTCAAGGACTCTGGAAGACATTTCAGCAATCCTGCCGATGAGAAAATGATTTCGCCTCATTTTCAAACCTAAGTAAACGAAACCCAGGTTTAGGTTTGACTTGTAGAAGGATATGTTGTATTTTTTTATTAAGTAAAGGATTGTTGGTTCGCGTTCCAAAAGGCTGTAACTTCCAATCTTGTGATTAAAAAAAACATCACTCACAACTTGAACCAGTATAGGATCGGACAGGACCTTCTTTATAAGAGGTTCTTCAACATCTAATGTTTGTAAGACTACGTTCATTGTCGTGACCGTTTTGATGTTACGTTGCAGTATCTGCTCGAATGAGGTAATTCTCGGTTCCAGTTTACCCGTGATTAGGAGACTCGTTAAACCGGCGGAGTACGCAAGGTTTATGTGGATGGTGTAGAAGAAGAACGTAGCGAACGCGATCCTGAACACAGGTCCTTTAAGATTTATGTTGGAGGGGTTTGCCAAAAGGAGGCCTAACGAGGCTAACATTGAAGTGGACAGTCTTCGAAAACGATGCCTCTTCTTTTGTAGTCTAGCCAGAGCAGTTAAGATCAAGGGGAACACCAACGTTGTGACGAGTACTAAGACCCACGACCGCAGGTCAAATGCTAAGAATATGAGCTTCCAGTTGGGTATCTCGTTCGGATTGCTGAAGAACCAACTGATCTGGTTGGTGATGTAGCTGTGGGGGACGGTGTAGCAGAAGAAGGTGTAGATGTAGTTGCTGTGGCCGGAGACCATTATCCAGATCCGTCCCTTCCGCAGCTCCGTCCTGATCCCGTGCGGGCCTTCCTTGTCCGTCAGCATCACGGAGTCGTTCCTTTCGAAGAATTTGTAGCGGTTCCTGAGTCCCAGGTGGCGCCCGATCATCTCCACGATTTGATACTCTATCCCACTTATACCTTTGTCGTTCATTATGAAGTGGGGTGGGTCGTGCATTGTACCTACATTAATAGTACAGTTGTTGAATGCTCTTGGAACTTTGTCTGGGAATAGATCCATACTTCTTTCGAAGCGGCCTTCCACCCATCGGTCCAGTGTTTCCACTTCAGTATTATCTTCAGGACAGCTCTTCTTGTCCTTGCCATATTGAAATAATGTGAACACATTGATGAACCCGTCCATCTTACCGACAAATATGACGTCTATATCTCCCTTTATGAACATGTGCTTTAGGAGTCGGTAGACGTCGACTTGGTTGGTCTCAGCAGAGACTGTAACGACCATTCTTGTTTTATCACCTCCCCCATCCTCATAATATTGACTGTACTCGTTGTAAATTATTTGATCGATTTGTTCAATATATGGCTTGTCGTCCTCCAAAATTATTATGTGTGCACAATTCAGGTAGCAAGTGGGTCCCGGCGGAAAGATTGGGTACATCAGAGTGGCCTTGCTCATGGATGGAAGATTGACTGCCCAGTCTTCATGGAAGCTCTTGAGGAGTGGCGATCTAACTAGCGAGGGCACGTCGATGAGACTAGGCTCGGTGAAGTTCAGCGGGAAGTTGAAGGAAAGGCATCGGCTGCTGAGGTACTGTTTGGCGATCGCCTGGAGGCAGGTGGAGAGTTCGTCCCCGCGGATCGTCGCCGCGAGGAGGAGAGCGACCGGCGCTGACATCGGTCGGGCGGTGACTACCGAGATCCCGGCTGGTTGTTGGTCGTGTAAGATTACATCTTTAATGAATTCATCACGCAATCGTGCAGGTGAATATCCTATCGGCAGCCTATCAATCATAATAAAGGGTTAGCTATTAGGTGGTGATGAAACTTATATTTTTGATTATGTTTTGGCAACCGTTACCACTGTGGGCTCTTCCGCTCACAATGCTGTCATTACATTGTTGTCGATAAACTCGGACCAAGGTTTATTTGAATTCAAATAAATTGTTTTAAACTTAAAATTGTTAAAAGTCATGTCTGATCAGTTTTACTGGTTTATCGATCACTATATTTTACTTTACTGTACCATAGATGGAATATAAATATTAGTATTTTTTATTTAAACAAATGTATAAATTTCCCTCTGCTTAGTCTTGTTATATGAATGAATAAATGAAAAAAATAATTTTATTCTGAGACTACTGTTAGCTAAGAATAATAACAGAGTTACTAATAATAAATGTATGGGTCTTAGTCTGACTTAAAATAATAGAAAATACAAACTAATTGACTGGTAATCGTTATTGCCATTGTGCAGTAGATTGAAATTAAACAGTGTACAGATGCAAGTAATTTTACATGGCTGCGGAAGTTTGAATGTGGAGTAGGTGGTGGGACAGGAGTTGTTTGAAGGATTTTATGGGAGGGAATATATAAGTCTATAGATTGAAACATGGTATTAAGAGAGTGGATAGAGGAACGTAGAGTAAGGAGTTCCAGGATGTAGAGAGGGTTTTTGGTTCTGAAGACTTGGAAAAGGAAAACACCAAGGAGGAATTGTCGTCGGGAAGCAGCATGAAGCCACTTCAACTCGGTGTACTACAATGAGATATGAACGCCTGGTGATCCCGAAGATGAGTTCATGAGTTTCTTTAGTCTCATTTCTAGCCTGGCAGATTGCCTTTCATACACCAAACAACCATAGTCGAAGTGAAGGAATGTAAGGGAGGTTACAAGGAGCTGTCTGGTTTTTAGAGGAATACAATCACGGAATCTTAGTAATTGTTTAAGGACAGTTGTGGATTTTCTGGTAATCTGGGTAGTATGGTTATTCCAGGAGAGGTTCTGGTCAAAGGTTACTCCTAGATTTTTGACTGTAAGGAAAAATGGATGGGAAGGTTATTGAGGTTAAGTAGAGGAAAGTAAGGAAGGGAGCTAATGAGATGTCTGGACCCGATGAGAATATAAGTTATAAGTTAATATCTTCTAAAAATTTGGATTGGAGTTAAGATAGATACCTTAAAAGTTGCTAGGGCTAATAGGTTCATGTTGTAATTTAGTCTACGGTGGATGTTTTTGTAGTATTGTTTTACAGTATCTGGAACCGTTTGGATGTCGAAGTCTTTGTGCAGCAAGTCATTTATCACATAGATCAGTGCATCCTCTATTTTACTCCAAATATTAGGTTGTAATGATTGATTTTTTAACGATATTGGAGATTTTCTCTCATGATTTTGTAAGTAATTCGTAGATGATAAGTTTGTTGGTTAAGTATAATTTGGAGCGTCTGTCAAGTAAACTGAATAATAGATAACAAACACAGTTAGTCGAGTTGTTTTCTGATTAGTATTGTATGTGTTCTTCTACATGTCAGTCTCTTGTTCTGGTGAAGTCCCTATGTGCATGCAGTAGGCAATTTCTTCATCCCATACCAGGGGGCCTAGTGATGGATAGGTTGGACTTTAAATGTAAATAATAATCTTCCTTCTTGATTTAAAGGTTCCAGTTCTGTCTATATTGAAGAACAATGTCCTTTATTGACAACTGTATGGATAAAGACCCCAAAATAAAAGTTTAAAATGCCTTTTATTGTTGGCTCTTGAGATAAGTATGTTTCATACCTTCCTACTAACAGTTTTGCTAACAGTAAGTTTATATCTTATCTATATTGTTATCTTTATAGTTTTTTGTCTATAAAAAGGTATTTGCGCCTGTCAACTTATTGTTGACAATCAGCAAATATGATGGCAATACATGGAATAATAACATGACAGGCATGGGGAAGAAAAGTACTCTTTCTTAACTTGTTCCAATTACTTAGGTTGTTTAAGAAAGGAGATCTTTCATTCAACGTCTTTTCAGTCTCCTCCTCATGTTCTGATGTGTGTCAGCTGTGGCCATGCCTCTTATTAGTCGAAGAGTAAATGTTCTATGTTGGATTTGTCATGCTCAAGTCGAATTTTCCATAGCGTGAACCAATCTTGTTATTTAAGTAAGAGATGTTGTAGAGTTAGTGAGGCGTGAGGCATGTGTAGGGTCTTGATGTTTTGTGAGAATTATTGTATCGTCTGCATATGTAGCTGTCAAGATCTCGTCGTTAAAAGGTATATCGTAAGTGTATGTAACGTAAAGTAGAGGGGCTAGTATTGAACCTTGGGAAACTCCTGCCAAGATTCAAGATCAATGGTGCGCTTAGCCTATAGCTACTCATCCTGCTTATCCAGCCGCTTCTTCACTTCCTGGCCTGGACCACCATATCTCCTGGCTCTCCATAGCCACTTCTCTCGTAGGGGGTCTCTGCTCAGTTTTTGGAGATGAGAGACATAAAGGATAAAATAGATCAGGCCTTATCCTTTAAGTGGTCAAATAAGAATAAACGATAATCTCCAGGATTTCATTAGTTCCCTACTCCGCCAATAGGTAGCACCTCCACAATGGCCAGCAGATGGCGTTACTGTTCCGTAGCATTTTAAATATAAATGTTAAAATGAGATTATATATTATCGTGGTCTCAACACTCAAATATGGCACTTCTTTACATATATGAATGAGAACATTGTTAAAGTACACATGAACCATTATTATCATCTATAGTACCACTAAATCAGTATTTATTGTAAAGACAAAGAATAATAGAATTTTTTAATAAAATCTTGAAGCGAAAAAAAAAAGGACAAATTATATCCTGGTCATTTTACTCATTTTCACTTCCCACATGGTAACCCAGTCAAAAATATCTTCAAGATAGTTCTGTTTGGTAAGATATGCGATAATTAGATTTTTTTTTTAATGTAAGTAGTGCAATATCAAACATAGGAAATTTTGCTAGAAATCTGCATTCCTGGTTAAATCTGCTGTGATAATATTGAAAAGTAATGGTCCCAGCACACTGCTCTGTGAAATTCTATCTCCAGACCTCCAGTTTTTTTTTTTTTTTCATCAGGTGAAGTTGAATAAAAATTAAAATTAATGTTTACAAATGTACGATATTTGTAAGACATTGTTTAACCAGTCTATCTTGGTCTCAGCTGTCACTGTAATATCTATTCTATACACTACATCTATTCACCCATAAATCGGATTCAGCGAAACGCTAATTTATTTCCATCCTACATAAGTTTCTTTGACAATTCGTGGCCTTGGTTTCAGAAGGTTCTAACTAACAAATTTGGGCAAATTAAGTTTACTGAGTGAGAAAGGTCCCGCGCGCGGTATTCAACTCTACTTGATGGTGGCGATAGTCGATACTATCGAAATATCGCTATTTTTCTTTACTACGTATTACATTCTATATGAAACAGCCAAGTTGAATATATTTTTTTTCTAACGATCAGATTCTTATATAATTCCTATTGCTTTCCTACAACGATTCTTTTAATTTTAATTTTTAAATTAAATGATTAAAATATCGAAGGTGTTGGGGCCAGGGGTACTTCAAAACCGAAGTACAAATCTTTCCCCGGTGCGTTTCCTCAATGGTGTGGAAAATTCGAGTAAAATTAAAAATGTTGGGAAAGAGGGGAAAAAAAGAGTGAATGAGACCTGTAAAACGTGAAAAATGCATGCACATCAAAATATTAAAAAATAAAAATATTTCAATACCTAAAAATGGAAAATAAAAAATACCCTTTTAAATGCTTACAAATTTATTGAGATAAAAGATAAAAAAACAAATGAGAAGAAAAAAGATTATTCAAATGCAGTGAAATAAAATAAAACATAAATACAATATTTAGTGAAAAATAAAAAAATTGTCCATCAAAAACAAAACATAAATAAAAAATTTCTATAATAAAGATTAACTTAAGAGAGAAAAAAATAACTTCAAGAGAACAAAATCAAATTTCGAGAATAAAATTAATCAAAAGGAAAAAAATTAACTTGAGAGTTCATTAAAGTTTAATTAATAATTTAGAGAGAAAATCCAAATTAATATTTAAATGTCGCATAGTGATGGTGAGAATAAAAACGTTCCAAGTTGGAGAATCTTCTTCCAAAGAGGTTACCTTGTACGATGTCAAGTCGATGTTGGGGAGTATCAAATCGATCGACAATTGCAGCGCCGCTAAACAACTGAAGTTCGAAAATGGCGCTAGGTGAGATGTGATGAGTCTGGACTGGTGGGGGTAGACGTCTTCACATAGACCTTATGTCAACAACGGTTACTTCCAGACTCGCTTCGGCCGTATTTTGATGTCTTAATCCCTAAGACAGGGTATTACTGCCGGGCTGGTGTGTATATAGAACGCGATAATACATCGCAAAATAAACCCAAATATATCAACACTATAAACTTATATACATTTTAGGGACAATATTCCTCTGTTTTTACTGACAAAAAAATCAAAATCTTTTATTATTCACACTTAAAAGGGGTGAGTTGTGAGAAAAAAAAATAACACTGAAAAAAAACAAAGATATGAGAGTATGCGGCGTTAACAGAAGGGATGATATGGATAGCAGATTATATGGATGTAAATGTTATGGATGGTAAAATATAGATAGATACTTCTATATTATCGACTATAGATTGGCATCCCTATTCCTCTGATGATTGAAAGATTAATCGCCTTTTGTTCACGTAAGTTCTTAGGAGAAGGCGATCTAACTAAGGAAGGTATGTCAGTGAGACTTGGATCGTTGAAGTTCAAAGGTTTCGAACTAATTGCGAATATATCTAACATCGTTTTATTCAATGAACCTTGAAGCATGATATTCAGAGAAAAAATGAAAAATATTTCTGGGATAGATATTTTCAAGGTGGAAACATACTGGACTTTTTTTCAAAACTGGAAAAAAAACGATCGCCTGGAAGCAACTGGAAAATTCGTCTCTGGAAGCAACT